CAGAAAATATAGGCTTACTGACCTGGATTCCACCAAGTGGAAAAGAAAATCCGTGAATGCAATGCCACAAACCATTTTTAGGCAACAGCAACAATTATCTGTTCCGTGAATGAGAATATGCGACAAATTTTCAGCAGAAATCAAGAAGTAATATAGGATATGCACCTCATCTTCTCGAGCAGGGGTTCGCAGAAGATCTATTTTACCTATTACTGTCTCACTAGCCGTAAAGTAGAGGGAAATGACATGCACCAAAACAGGAACAATAACAACTCGTCTTACCATTTTGAATGGCCATCTCGGTTCTATATCTGCTGCATGCCATATTTATGCATCTGTATAATACCTTTACCTCAATATTGTTGCAGCTGTACCTGCGCAGTTACGAACGGTTTTATCAGAGTAATTAAAACAAATAATTATATTATTCTGCAAAACAAAACCCACGTATCATTTGTTTTCAAACAAATTGCTATCTTTCAATACCTGCAGTAACAACCTTCTGTCATTTCTCTAGACTCACGTTACGTAGGACACCGTCCTTTTGCTTCTAGAATGCCTAACGGACCTCCTGTAGATATTGGACCTGAAGGCAAATAAGATGTTTTCATAGCTAACCACGGTATTCGCACCAAAAGGAGATCAGTGGGATTTCATGACAATGAGCCAGTTTAAAAACGAAGATATACGCCTCAGAGAGTGAATCAAGAGTTCATAATTCTGTGAAATTGTTTCAGCCATAGCAAAAGATAGAGGCGCATAAAAGGAGGTCCGTCGAGAGATGTGCCCCGAGTAATTCGAGGCCATACAATGAATCTTCGACAAATTCTAGCGATAGTTTTACAGTTTGGAGAAGAAGCCGCTGTAAACTACGGCCTTATAACATATGTAAACTCCTAACGATTTCATAACTCGTGGGCTAATCGGTTTCTGTGACAAAGCACATGTCAGCGGATTATACCCTGGACTAAAGTTCCTTAATTGGAGATGAAGATTCACTTGAACAAAATGAGCTTGCCTTCAAACTCATCTTTGCTTTAGTCACAAAGCTCGAGGCTAATTCACGCAAAACGCCGTTTGTTCTTCCAATTTCATGCTTTAATTTTTACACCATTCTTCAAAGCAACGGAGAGAAGAACAAGAAAGCATCCGGCGCTTCAATTTAGATACGTTCACACGCATGCCGGCCACACTGCACTAGGGTGCGAACCTTTCTACGGAGCACTGGAGATCAGTTTCAGAAGATGCCAATAAAACAAGGTCGCCTGCAAACGGCAACCTTCTCGTCTCCATATCTCATACGCCGATAGAGTCCGCCTTGGCTACTCCTGACTATTCTATCCATGTATAGCACAAGCAGCAGAGCGGGCAGGACGGAGCCTTGGAGGAGACCAGTGGCAACGTAGAAAGGCTTCGAGTTTACGCCTTTTATTCTGAGGCAGAAATGGCCAGTAGCATATAATAATTGGATGGCTCGTAATAATCGATCGTCAATCCCAAACGTTTGCAGGAACTCTCACATATTGTTGCACGGGATCGGGTTATCGATTTTTTCCAGGATAACAAAAATGGCCTCT